GGATGAACTAAGACACATCCACAATTGGAAACAGAGAAATGTGTAATAAAAATGGCTGATATTCTAGCCTAAGAGATGCTCCTAGGTCCATTCTAAACCACTTGGCTCAATTATCTCTGTAGATATATTTCTTCCCAGAGGGGGGAAAATCAATAGCTATTTTACTTTCTTCTATATTACCTGTGTGCTTGCTTGCTATGTACTATGCGTTCTATAAAATATAAGGTTGGATTTTCTAAAATATTTATGTTTATGAGAATTGGTTTTTCTATCCAACAGACACACATCCAAAGACACTGCCAGGCAGATGTTGGCATCAAAAATACTGCTGGTGTAACTTAGCGTGAACATGTAGTAAAGGTGACAGGGTGTAAATGGGGTGACTGCTACTCGGAAGTGAAGGTGTTTCCTACAAGCTCTGCTCTACCACCAACTAAAGAATAAAAATTTAGAGAGAAAACTGAGCAAATAAGTTCTTGGTTTGAATTCTGTTCTCTTTTGCCAAAGCATATATTCTCTCCTTCTGTCAATGTACCTTGATAAGATATAGTAACCAAAACAGAAGTAAAAATGGCACCACAATAGGTAATGCAGATGGTGACTGCTAATGTCTAATCCAATGGTCAGTGATTGTTTTAACTTTACAAGAAAACTGTGCTGTGAATTGAGAGACTCTGAGTCAGGAAGACAATGGGAATGTTTGGGAAGAACCCCAAAAGACTCTATGATAGCCAGTCTTAGCCAAGTATTAACCAGTATGAGAGCACATGGGAAATTAGTAAAACTGACATTTAAACATTCCAGTTTCTTTTAATGCATTTTTCTACTTTTATTGAGTAGCTATTAAACCTGTCACCACCTACTAATCCTATTCTTTTGAAGTTTTTATTTAGCTGGATATTGGTGGTGCATGCCTTTAATCCTAGCACTCTGGAGGCAGAGGCAGGAAGATCTCTGAGTTTGAGGACAGTCTGGTCTACAGAGCAAGTTCCAGGACAGTCAGGGCCACATAAAGAAACCCTGTCTCAAAAAAACCAAAACCCCCAACCAAACCAAACCAAACCAAACCAAAATGACAACAACAACAAAAACACAAAACACCAAACAAAACAAAACAAAACAAAACAAAACAAAAATCCAAAATTCAAAACCATGTAGCTGGAGTTTTTCTGGTCCTGCCTGGCTCACAGTCAGGACAAATCTTTGTCACCTGCCAGTCCCACAGCAGCTCAGACCCAACCCAGTAAACACACAGAGACTTATATTGCTTACAGACTGTGTGGCCGTGGCAGGCTTCTTGTTATCTACTTTTTCTATCTTAAATTAACCCATTTCTATTAATCTATACTTTGCCAGTGGCTTGTGGCTTACCAGTACGTTACATCTCCCTTGTCATGGCGGTGGCTGGCAGTCTCCCTGCCTCAGCCTTCCACTTCCCAGAATTCTCTTCTCTGCTTGTCCTGCCTATACTTCTTGCCTGGTTACTGGCCAATCAGTGTTTTATTTATTAACCAATCAGAGCAACGCATTTGACATATAGAACATCCCACAGCAAAAAACCCAAAATCCCAAAACCAAAAAACCCCCAAACAAACACATAAAAATTAAATTTGTGTGTGTATGTATGTATGTATGTGTTTTTGCATGCATGACTATGTGTATATGTTCATCTGTGTGTGTGTGTGTGTGTGTGTGTGTGTGTGTGTGTGTGCACAAGCATGTGCAAGCTTGTGCTAAGTTTCGTGTGTGGTGGTTAGAGAACAGGTTTAGGGGTCTGTGAATTCTAATGATCAGATTCAAGACCTCAGGTGTGCTTGAAGACATTTCATATTTAGCCATCTGAGTGTCCTCTAGTTCTTTTTATATAATTATTACATTTTTGGGTTCTACATACTTGTACCAACATAGTTGCCTTTGACAGGTCAGCTAGTACGGTGCAGGTTTTCAGGAGCAACCTTTCAACCAGCATCTCGTCTATACCCCTTCCCATATGGTTTTAAACACAATTTAGAACAGAGAACAGGCTTTCTGTTTTTATCTTTCATCACAACTGACAGTGTATGTTCTATCAGTGCCTACCAATCCCAACACTGCATGTGGTGTTTTATTCTCCTATTGACTCTCCAATGTTGTCATAACTCTATTGCTTAAAGAAGAGATTCAGAAAACACAAGTACTGAAATTATGCTGAATTACTGCAAAAACATCTATGCTCTAATGCCAGTTAGTGCTTTCACATCCAAATTGTGTGATAATGCCCTTTGAGCACAGCAAACTTAGCAAATCTCCTTAAAGAAAACAGGCCCTTTTAGAAAGGGCCTCAATGAACACACATTGAGCTAATTGCAGAGCAAGTGGGAAGATAAAACATGCTTGTTTATGTTAATGAAGTGTTAACATTGTTTCTCTCAAAGATTAATTGTAATGGTCAGTTGCATTTATTGGCAGCTTCTTATTGGAATGTGTATTGTGTCTCTTTCACAGGGGCTGGATTCCTTCCATTTCCACATCTGGCTGCTGGTACTCTTTCCTTAATCACAGGGATATTTGACCTGAGCATTGAGCTTCTGGAGATAAATCCAATTTTACCCCTGAGTGCAGAATAATAAGGATGACAACTGCTAAGACAGTTGATGTGCCAGATGCTATAGAAGGAAAATGCAGGAGGAACTCACCTTGCCTGACATTTCAGGGAAGCAATCCCTGGATAAATGACTTGATTTTTGTACTTTTTAAAAACTGTGCATTTCTAATATAATTACAACATTTCTCCCTCCCCTTTCCTCCCCTCAAACCCTCTCATATATGCCTCCTTGCTCCCTTTCAAATACGTGACTCCTCTTTCATTGCTATTACATGCATTTATGCCTATATATGTATATTCCTATATATAACTTCAGTATGTATAATGTTACTTGTATGTGTTAGGGTTGAGCAGTTGCCATTGGACTACTAATTGATGCGCTCTTCCCTGGGGATATATTGCTGTGATATAATGTGTCCTAGTGATGTCAGAAGCTACAGCCATACAGTCTCACCACAACTGCCCAAACATGAGCTGAACAAGAATGATACCAATAGACATGCTGAAGTGGATAAATGGATCTTAAGAACTGTAAAGGTGATACAGAGAGTAGAAAAGTACAGATAAATCCATGTGTGCCTTTGCTAGAATAGTGCCTGGAAAGTTGGCAATGCGATATAGCAGGTTTAAGGAACAGAAAGAATATCAGCTGGATATAAGAGCAAAGATAAAGAGGTCTTATGTAGCTAAGGGTACATCACCCATGAAAACTGTGTTGGGCTTAGCAGCAGGAAGTCACAAAATTATTGCAAAGCATGAAGGGTCATCACCAGGGAGGCAGTCACTGTCTCCTATGTGCATGAAGCCCTCAAGCTCACTAGTGCCTCTAGGCTCATGTGATCTCCTTGCTCAGCTATCTTGCCTGTACATTTTTGGGCTTCACCACAACTTGTTCAGTTGCTGTTTGAATCAACAAGTTGGGGAATTTTATGTCCTAAATATCATTTTTTTTTTCACATGTACTATTTTATAACAAGTGTAAATCATTTAACAAACCCTTTCAATGAACAGCGTTTTAAGAGAACAGTTCATTTAACCATTAGCAAAATACCACATCAAAAAATATATTAAGGCACTAAAATAAATACACACATACTGCATTGTCAATGTATGGAAACATCATGACGCGCACTGACTGATAAAGTAAGACTATTTTAGCTTTGAATGCATAGTAATCTAGCTAGCAGATTCAGATGTGTAAATCAGACATGTACTTCTGAACTTCCATCTTATCCACAAGATAAAGGACTAGTGACGGATTTGAAGCAATGACTTGGGTCAGATTGCATTCCACGCCTAAGATGTTCATTCGTTTCAGGTTTTGCTTCCCTTGGCCATTTATGCTTCCAAAGTCAACCTGCAGTAAGAAGTCTAGCAACTTCACAACTTCTGAATTTTCAAGTAAACAGCTTTATCAGATGATTATCATCAAGAACATGATTTACACTAACATTTTCACAGTTTAAAAAAAACAC